GGAACTTAACTCTAAGATTATTGGTGGTCAAAAAAAAAGTTTTTCCAAAATTTCCCCCTCCCCCCCCCCCCCTTTTTTTTTAAAGCCTAAAGTCCGGACTGGAATAAGTAAACCTTATAATGTCAAGCAGATCAAAACCACCACAGCTGAGGAAGCAGAAGAAGCTATTAGATGTCTTATGGAAGCTAAAGGAGGTGAGCACAGCTTTCTAATGGACTTTTAAAATCTTTATTTAGAGAAAACTGTAGGTGTATTCATCCTTCCCCAGATGCACTTATTTCTATTCAGAAGCTCAGCTGAACAGAAACATGTACATTCCTGCAAGACTGTATTTAGTGGTTTCTGTCAGTTTTGATAATATTAGCCTTTTTGTTTCAAGACGACTCTAGTTATACGTTTTGTTGTAGAACCAGTTACTAGGAGTACCTTGGGTTATTCACGTCCAGATTAAGTCGGAAAAATTACAAGATACAGATGAGATCTTCCCCAGCTGATATTGTCTGTGTTACTTCAGACTTGTATCTGCTTACTCTTGCATAAAGGATATTTGCTGCTCCATTTAGTGAATGCTCACTACTCCAAGCAGAACTGCAGAGCAAATAGAGCTGTGGGGAAAATGACCTGGATTCTGTTCAGATTTATACAGCAAATATAGTGGTTACTTAGAAAGAGGTTCAGACCACTTAACCTTGAATATCTAAGCTGAAAGACTGCTCCCTGCGTAGGCTCTCCATCTCGTCCCTGGAGAGGAGAGGTTCTTGCCGGGACAAGTTAGAGCAGGAAACCAGCTTAGGTACTGAAATGTAGGCAGTGTGAATATACCCTCCAGGGTTGCAGGTAGTCTTTTGCTGATGCTATGTAAATGAAAAAGAATGTAGTAGGACTCAGAGATCCCTTCCTGAGTTGGAAGCCCCTCAGTTTAGGAGAAAAACATCTCTCTTCATTTGTAAATGGAGCAAATGTAGTCTGGAATAGGTAAGGTAAATATCATAAAATATCATAAAAAACATTTCAATTGATGTTTGTTCCTCAGAGAGCATGGTACACTCATTTTTGAAATCAGATATACTTTCCCTTAATTGTGAAATCCACATTATGTATTTCACTCAGTTTGAGTAAGGAAATTAGTCTTGGTCAGCTTCACTTTCAAACCTTTGTGCTGTACTACCAGCTGGCATTTACAGTTCTGCCCAAACCACCTGGCACGAGGAGCTTAGTTTCACTATCTGCTTTATCCAGATGAGGCAACCAGGGCAAAAGCAGGCTCTGGACTTGAGTCTACTACTGCTGTACACCCAGTCAGCGTTTTGTTCACTGGGCCAAATGGTGGCACGTTGCTGTTTTGGTGGGAAGTATTTCGGACAGGGAAATTTTTAACTGCCTTTTAGGAATGTAAACATTCTAGTGACAGGATAGCACAGGTCTGTGGTTATTTCTAATACCTGCATTCCTGGCCTGAGCACTAGTCCCCTTGGGCACACACATTTTGGAAAACATGATCGTGAAAGAAATTGGTCTCGATGCTGCATTTCTGATCAAGACAAGACACTAATTGTTTTTGCTTTTCAGGATTACAGGAAGATGCACTAAAGCCTGCTCCAGCCAGAAACCAAATGTTCACTAAATCTGAAGCTCTTCCCAGCATCACAAAGTCACTATCCTTTCAAGGGTCGCAGGTAGGACCAGTGCTTGTGCCCCATCGCCCGCCACCCAAAGTTCCAACTACAAAGAAGCCAGTACCCCTGCAAAGGACCGGAGTCAAGGTGGAAAACGTAAGATACTTGCAGCAAAATGCATCCAGACTTCATTATGCTATGTGAATATTGGCAAAAGGGGTGGGCTGTTAAATAGTTCATGTAAAGTGCTGTCACTTACACTGTTACCCAGTTCTTAATCAACAGGCACTGAAATAGTTTTGTGTACTGCAGTCATCAAGGCATAAAAACATACTGAGCAACCAGGAAAGGAAAAGAAATGGTTTGTAGATCATCAATATATACTTTAACAAAGTTGTCACTAAATCGAGTTACCCTTATTCAGCGTTTCGTGTTTGTCAGTCCATCCTCTTAGGTTTTGTTGCTCCTCTTCTGGTTTGTCTAAACCTTCTCAAGGTATGTGGAACTGTCTTGTCTCTGATATGCTGCTTCCTCTGTACTTCCAAATTGCATCAATGTCATTTCTAGGAGGAAGTCACCATAAATTGCTGTCTCACTTGGGAGCCACCCTCCACACTGTTTTTCATCCTTCTTTATTTCTGCTCTGTTGACTATGAGGCATCAGAGCCATCTTCACATCAGCTGTATCTAGATTTTCTTAGGAAAATCAGGAGGAAAGACTTTCTCTTGCTAGACAGAAAATTAGTGTTTCAGTCAGGCTCAACCACTCAATTTTTCTTTTTTTGGTCTTACATCTGTCCAAAAGTTGTAGTTCAAACTGTAGACAAAATTGCATAGGAACAAAATCAGTTACAACAAAATTTTTATCTTAAAAAATACTTCTCTTCAAATCAAAAATCTGCATGAATCAAAATGGAATGATTTTGCTCATTCGGAGGAGTGTTCCTGGCCCACCAAAGCTTCAGATATAGACTCTCGATGCACAATTCCCCATTTAAATGACAAATTTATAATACTGATGGGTGAGAGATCTGAAAACCAAAACAAAATACCTACTCACTTCAGAAATAATGACTAGAAGAGGCTCTCCAGAGAGGAAGACTGTATTAGCTGTTATGATTTTAATTGGAAATGCGAGTTCAGCTTCCTTCTCAGCCATAGGTATTTGTGCTGACCAGGGTTAAGTCACACGTGCATCTGATGCTGCCTAAGCCTTTCTATTTATGCATTTAGGCTCGAGTCCTAAACTGCAATGCTGTAAATCCCCATTCAGCTGCCCCCTACTTCAGAGATATCCAGTCTCTACAGGTCTCAGAGTTTGACCTTCACCTTCTCTCTTAGCTTGTAAATTTGACTTATAGGACCAGTGGAGGTATCCGTCACTTTTTAAAATTAAATGGTCGCAAAATCAAATCCATCAATACTTTCAAACAAGGAGCCATGGTAATCCCTTCCAAGCACAAGTGCCGGAACCACTAGCTTGCAGAAATAGGTTCCTTCTTGTGTCTCCTCTGTGACTCAGTTCTGAATTCATTTTCTGAGCAGAGATCCAGCTTCACCTGGAAAGATGGAGAGCATCAGCTGCCTAGCATAGCCTAGACCTTGAAAGAGGGGGAAGGAACACATTGTCAGAGATGTAGGCTCGAAGCATGAGGTATAATGCTGACGGGGAAATTAAATCTGTTCAGCTTCTCAAGAGATTGCATTGACTGTTCAGACCCCTGACTTTGTCACTCTTGGACTACCTGAGTACTGAGGGAGGTAGTGAGCCCAGCTGCTTTACCTAAAAGGCTGAGCAGAGGTGCTCTTCTTCAGGAAAGAGTTCTGCCATGAATCCTAGGTAGATAAAGGCATCTGATGTGCTGGATTTAAGACTCATCCCTTTTTCACGACAATGTTTTAATTTGTCCACAGGATGAGTATTTTGCTCTATTGATTTGAGGCAGCTTCTTGATTGGTATGCTGATATGGGTCCTGTTCAGGGACATCTGACGTTTTCCAGGCACTTTATAATGGGATTCAACCTTTCACTTAGGGCTTTGGATTCTGCTTGAGTGCAAGCACTTAAAAATACCAACCTGTAGGTGCTGTATTTTTAATCTGTCTCTACGTCAGGTCTCTACCATGGAGATAATAATTCTTCACCTCCTAGAGCTGCTGAAATGATGATTAATGGTGAAAGCAGTTTAAGTGTGAGAGAGGGGCAAATACAACCTTTTAAATTCTTCCTTTGTTAGAACTTCCGCTAGAAAGCTCTCTCCTAAGTCATTACGACTCTTGTTTTATCTTGCTTGTAAAGGCACTCATGCCTTCTCTATAATGGAGTTTGTGCAATCGCTACTTAGCAGAATCACAAAAGAAAAAATCCGACAGCACAGTGTGTGCCTTTCCCTTAAACTGGCAATAACAATAAATGGTCATTTTATTTCATTTTTATCTTGTACCTATGCCCAGGGCACTCCTGAAAGGAGCTGAGAAGGACTAATACTTTGGTGTCAGCTATATAAAATCATCTGCACAAATTTATCTATTTCAGTTTGACTGTTTCAGTCTTCTACTCCTTCCTCCATCTGAGTGAGCTTAGATGGGAGTTGTGTACTTCAAAACCTCTATCCAATCCACCTCTCTCCTTGAAAAAGGCATGTAATCAAATGTAGGCAACTTAAGAACAGCATATAGACAGGAACAACAGAGGATATGTTATGATGAAATATTGACTAAATTTAGAAGCAGGTATATTAACTTTTAATACTATGGCAGACCAATAAAGAATTAAAATGCTTTAATTCAGCAAAACAGAGTGAGGAAATCTGAAGCAGCCCCTACCCTCTTGGACTAATCTGGGCTCCAGTTATTTATGTATTTTTAAATAGAGGCTGTATGCTGAATTCTACTTAGAGTTTATTTGTAGCTTCAATCCCTAGCATCAGTGAGACAGGACAGAGCCATTAATGCATTTCTTGGGTTTAGCTTAACGTAATTGTCCTTCAGCCTTATGTATCACAAGATACCCAAAGGCACATGCTAATGGCCCCATTAATTTAGCCCTTCCTATGCCTTCTTGCTTAGATAATATTACAGTCAGCAGAGAGATGTAACAAATAACTCTTCAGAACTATACTGATTTGGCCCTGAGCAAAATCCTAATAGGAAAGAGAGACGGTCAGAAAGAGATGCATTTTTCATGCAGGGAGTGAACAGGCTCTAGTGTCCTTACCCCCATACAGCACCCTGTAAGTGAACACTGGTTCCAGGCATGATGCCTAGAAACAGAACTAAGCAGGTGTAATTTAAAGCTGTGTTGTCAAGCCTCCTCTTTGTACTGCTTTATTTTTCTTCCAGTACTCTCAGCTTTCCTCAATAATGCCATCAATAAAATTCACACTAGAACTGACTCATAGTTTAGGGTACCATTTTTGTGTTCACCTTTCTTGTTCCTTTTCCCCCTCAGGCCATGTCTACAGAAGAGCAGTCTGACCAACAGACAATGCATTCTCCTTTTGGCTTGCCAGAGCCCTGTCCAGAAGCCGGAGCTATTCTTAGTCCCACAAGGATTACTCCAGTCCCTAAACCCAGAACATCACAGCCTGGGAAGTCTCAGGAGAGCAGAGGGAGCAGTGAAAGGCAGCCCCTGTCACCCAGTGTGGCTGAGGCCAGTGCGCTGCCGCCCCAGAATACTTCCTTTGCCCCAAAGGTGCCACCACGAAGGAAAAAGTCAGCTCCTGCAGCTCTTCATCTGCAAGTTCTCCAGAGCAGTGACAACCCGCTCTTTAGAGGGTTAATGTTCAGCTCCAACAAGAACAACAATGCTGGGCTCCACCCCCAGACTCAGGACTCTCATGTCCTTTGTGTTTCCCCACCACAGTCTACTGTCTTAGCTCCGACATCCTCTGCCAGCCCAGAGAACAACACAGCTAAGCAGTTGGCTCAAAATGCCTCCGACTTGATTGCTAACCTTCAGGGCCCTCCTGTACCTGAGGACCAGCGCCCACAGCCCTCGGATACCAGCTCTTTTGCAGAGAACACCAATCTTTTGGACCTGGACACAGATTTTTCCTGCCCTCTTTCCATACAGGCAGCATCAGCTGCTTCTCCAGCACGCACTCCAGAAGATTTAAAAGTCCTCAGCTCAAAAGATTTCAGTCACTGGGTTACATTTAGTGATGATGAAGACAATGGTGCCCTGTCAGAGGGGTTCAACAAACTGCTCGTCTTAGAACAAAACAAAAATACGTTGATGAACACAAATGCTAATTTAGAATTGTAAAATTTGTCTCCTTAGTTTTCCTGTAGAAATCATAATTAGGGTGCAAATTAAAATATATCTTTTGCACAAAGATCTGTATTTCAGGAAAAGTATCTCCAGGTAACACTACATTTCATTTTCATGTTTAAAGACAAAGGTGCTGCCCCTGGAGGGAAGTGTACTGAGTATGTACAATCTAACACTGTCGACAGCTTGTTTGAAAAGTTCTTTATTTTAAATTATTTCTTTTTATTAATCTATCTTAATGTTTTGTTTCAGGTACAAATCATATGTAAGAGCATGTAATGTATGGGGAAAAAAACCTTAAGAAAAACATTTGCCTATGCAAATTGCATCTCAACCACTTTCTGTCATTTAAAATAAAGCACCCTTATCTTAAATAGTTAGATTGCTGTAGTTATTCTGGAACAAATGCCCCTAAGAGGAATATACGCCAGTGTAACTACAGCAGTATCATCAGTAAGTTCCCACTGTGGAAATAGACAAGTTGTCTTTCTTTTAACTCTTAACTTAGCTGCAGGCCTGAAGATCCCTGCTATTTATGCTGTTAAACTGTCATCCCAGTCTATGAAGTAAAATAAAAGGTGTGTGTTGTGAGGAGGATGTAAAGCAGCAGCACTAGGAATTGGCTATTGCCCATTTTGTAAGAAATACCTGTTTTTACTCCAGACCAGGCAAGGATTACAACCGACCTTTTAAGTGCTGTGTTGTTAATGGCACCTGTGATAACATGTCTTAGTTTTTATAAAGGATTAGGTATTGTTTCAAAATACAATTCTAGTTTGCACCGAGATCAAAGGCATTTCTGCTTGGTTCTCTGCCACCTTTCCAAACACCATCCTGGTTCTGTTCAGGGCCATCCTCTTCTAAACATTACGCTCTCCACTCACATAGCATGTGGAGCATGACAGGCCCTTTGGGATGAGACTGTGTAGTCTGCTTGTACGTGCTCTCTGTATGCAAATACTGGGGAAATATGATGATTAGTTGAGACCAGCTGATTATAGAGGACATTAGCATATTAACGCATTATTGCTGAAGGCACTTTAATAATTCATTAGTTGTGTCCCTGTTCCCATTCTGCTGCTTTATAAGAAAACGCCATGCTATGCTCATGTATACTAAATGCAGATGAGGAAAGAGCTGGTCTTGGAACTTAGCTTTACACAAGTGCAGTGAAGGCTGATATATCCTGAAACTAAGCCACAAGCACATGACTCAGGATGGCAGACCCACCCTTCAGAAAGGGATGGTCACTTATGGCTTAAAAAAAATGAGTTTACCTGCTTCCTGTGAAGCTCAACTTTGGCATGGAACTGGTTGGGTGGAGGGAAGGGACATGTAGAGCTATTGCACTTTTTGTTCATTTTTGCTGATGTCAACTACTCGGGCTATTCGTTTTGTACCATGGAAGGCTCTGCATTTTAACCTCAGCAGAGTGTTAAAGCCACACTGCAGCAGAGGGCCAGGCAGAACTGAAGAACAGCATGATAACTGAACATGGGCTGGAAAGCCTAGCAATGGAGCTAGAAATTTAGGCAACCACATCTACACGTAAGGACAAATTTACAGAGCATGTGTACGTCCATAAATAAAGCTGTTGCTCAAGTGCTCTGTGCCTCAGTCCAGGGAGCGCATCTAGGAGGCAATAGCAATGCACTGACTAACAGGGAAGCAATGGCAATAGTCTGCTCTCTGCAGGTTCTTGCAAACAAAAAGGTTAAAAGAAGCTCATGTTTTAGGGCACTGGAAACAATAGCAGGAGGGGAGCATCGCCTGTTACAACTGTAAGAACTTAGAAACTGCAGGCAAATATTCCTGCGTGCCTGTTTTGCTTTGCCTGTATATTTACCAAGTAGTCCATCAAAAGTTATAGGGCAACCATTTAAGGTGAGATTCTAGGTCACATACCATGGCGTGCTCATGCAGTCTTGCTACTCGGCTCAAGCCGACTTGGCCTTCAGAATGAAGGCCCCTCTCATCTGTTAGCAAGCCAGCAGTCCTGCTTCTCAGAAGCCCAAGAGAAGGGATCGCCATTGTGATAAACGTGGCACGTTCATTCTTTTCCCTAGGAAAAGTAATTAATTGATTTGTTCTCAGCTGCTTAGAAACTGGGATTTCAGTCATTTTCTTACTATTATTACCTAGCACGCTTATTACTGTTTGTTACCAAATTTTGGACACAAGACATGCTGTAAGAGCGGCTACTGCCTTTAGCTGAGCACCCACCATCCTTCTCTGCTCATTTTGCAGATGATACTTAAAAAAAAACAAATTAAAAAAAACCCAAACAAACAAAAAACACCTCACAGGCCAAACCAATAAAACCCAGCACTAAGCTTGTTTGTTATGTGAGTGGCAGTTTAACATGCTAGAAGACTGGTGAATCATGCTGAAGCAACATAGTTCTTTCCTTAAAAGATGCCACAGAGCCTATTTTTTTTTTTTTAAAAGATGACCAAGAAAAAAGAAATACAGTGGATATTTATGGGCACATTTCAGTATAAAGTATTAAGAGAAGGAAAAAGGAGGGGGAAGAGTATGTTATATGACCATATCCACTATTCTGTGCAAAGATAATTCACAGCTCTAGGACAGCTAATTTACATGTTAATGAAGCTGTTAGCGGGAAAGCCAATTAAAGTGGATTTATACAAGTCAAATAAAAGTTGCTTTATTACTCTACTTGAATAAGAGAAGTAGCTGGCCTTTAGTGTTATATCTTATACCTGTGTATGTGGCAAGCTACCCATTAAAGTTTGAATCCCTGCAGCCAGCTGGTTTATACCATCAGTGACAGCATATACCATTCAATCACAACAAATCAAGAGGAAGGAAAAGACGACAATCCAGGTTACAGCAAAGAATGAGGAATCTGCTGTCTCAATTTATTATCCTTCATATTCGGGTCTAATACCCCAGTGGGTGTTTTTCAAAGGCACGTTCTGTGCCCTGGGTTCTAGTTTTATTGGCCAGGACAAGCTAAGCATGGCCAGACCTGCTCAGCATTCGGGAAACCGCTACAGAAAACTCAAGAGACTGTTAGAAGCGGTGCTTTGTTCCTTCTAACTCAGGATTAGGCCAGGCCCCAGCAGAAAGTGAAAAGAGGCTAAGTAACGAGAACTGTCACTCAGGTGATGTCCAAAACTGGGGAACCCACAGCATGGCCCTGTCCCCTCTACAACTCTGCTGCTCCCAAAAATTTTTGTCCAAAATTGAAAGTTTGAAAAGATAGATAGATACTGACATTTTCACCAGAATGAAAATTTCTGCTCTCTAGCCAGCTACGGTGCCTAGCACAGTGAAGCACAAATCACAGTGAAAGCCTGTCTGCACTACTGTAATCACAGCAGTTAAAGGCTTGATGACCACAGCTACTAGAAATACCAGTATAGTTGCACAGGAATGCTGGACAACCACAGGGAAGACCGACAAATTCCTATTAGTGCTCCCCCTGTATGTTGCTATGTTACTCTTGGATGCCACAATGCAGATGAAATACCATCTTCTCAGACAACTCACCCCAAGTACAACACACCTAGTAGCCACATCTGCAGCTGGGTACCCAGTCAGATGGGATTAGTGCATTAAGGGCATAGTTTGAGTCCTAAGAATTTACATGAAGGCTCTATTCTGGATTAATGGGACACCAGGAAAGCACAAGAGCTTAAGTAAGTTTCTAATGGGAAGCAAAAGTTTATGCCACACGACAGACCCTTTGGCCCTAGAACCAATGTCTGTACATGGCTTAGGAAGCGCTTTTAGGGAAAATAATAAAACCTAAAAGCACAATTGGAAAATTGTTCAGTTTGGCAAAACACTGATGACCAGCTGTGCCCCCCGTACTATGCCTCTGGTGCTTAAAGTGCCTGTTATCCTTACCTTAAGCGAAGGTTAAACATTGCTTTCTTCCAGCATGAAACAACCACTAAAAAAATCCACAGGTCTTTAAAAGGAGGAGAACATGATCAAGTACATTTGCTTAGCAGATCATTCACTTTTAATACATTTTGTGCCATATCTTAATACATTTTTAAAAACACATTTCATTACCATCTTCCAATCAAAAAAAATACATACAACTCAAAACATTAGTTTTAAAAGCTACACATGTATACATACAGTTACAAAAAGGAGAAAGTTGCCTCAAGAGCTCCAGTTATAGTAACAAAACATAGAAGCGTTTACTGAATAAGTTTACTCTGTAATGCCATTGATCTGAATCCCTTTAAGCCAAAGAAGGCTACTAAAATCAGTATGAGCTTTGTCATACTACACATTATTGCAAGTCTTGTCCATTCAAACTGAATTCCACGTACCCTCTTCTTTGTGAGCACAAAATGTTCTAATATATTTATACTCTGAAGTTTAAGCGCAGTGTAAACAGGATAAATTCCTTTAAAGGTTATGTTACATTGTCTATCCGAAATAATGGCATCCAATATTCTTACCTACATCTTGATTACGAGGAAAAAAAATGCTCTCTTTGTTTGTGTTGTGCTGTACATTCTCTGTACTGCTGTGGGCTGTGAATTTTACTGTGCAAGTCCAGCAGGTTGAGGCTGCACTTCCCGAAGTGCATTTTCAGATTTAATGTCCTCCTGAACTGGAGTAGTCTAAGGTAGGAACGGTTGAGGTGGCCTCAGGAGCTGGCAGGACTGCAGCCACTGCTGACATCTGCACCAAGCCCATGCAGAACTGCAAGACACATTCCACCTTTTTGGTGACTTTTATAGCCATAACTTTAAGGCTAGTAATACTAGATCCATCCCACATAAGCAACGCTAAGAGACCTCTTAAGTCTTCTCTACTAATTTTCCTGTCATCAATAAAGGCCTTATTTGACAAATGGTCAGCTAGGGAAATACAGCTAGCCATAGCCTATTTCTGTCTTCAGAGAGAGTTGGGGGTGCAAAGAAAGGAAGGAAAGACACCGTAATTAGAGACCGTAATTAGGCTGCCCTGAACTATGTTGCAAATTATTTAAGACTTATTATTTAAGACTCTGGCTGAAGACTGCCACGTTTTTCTGAAGAATGCTTATTTCTCCTCAGTACTATTAAGGTGTCCTTATGATTTCTACCAAAAACACATAATGATAAAACTTACATAAGACAAAAGTGCCATTTTTCCTCTTTACCTACACAAATAAGTACACTTGGGTCTCAAGAAACCAATAATACCTGGGATCTTCTGTATTTCTCGTGGGACCTTATGAACACCTGCATTTTCACCTGCTTTTCTTATTGTCTGCCTGAGCTCCACACTCTAAACATGAGCTTTTTTGTCAGGTCCTGCAGATGTCGTATTCCATGTGGGCATTTTCAATGCTCTTTAAATCAGCTAAAGAGCTTCTAAATGAGTAACATGAACCAGGGAATTAAGTGTACCATCTTCTCAGTACGTCCCAAGAGTGAAGCCGAACATTAACAGCTAGGCCTCTGTTCTGTATCTTCCATGCGACGGTGCATAGAACTGCCCTGAGTCTGATCAGACACAACCTATCTCAGAGAAAGTAATCTCAAAAGTTAGTAGGATTAAAACGGAAATGTACAAGAACATGGAAGAGGTTCCCCCCCCACCTTTTTTTTTTTTTTAAATGTATACAACCAGGATAAAACAACTACAGCTGTTTATACAAGACAGCGTATTAGAACTCAGCAAAGCTGTTACCTCCTTCTCATGCAGAAAACAGATGTTGTGTTTGGTAACAAGTCTGGGTGGATCTGTTAAACAAAAAGGCAAATTACAAAAGCTCCTGTAATTACACCATTGATCCAAATACTATCTTCAGTCACTTGGATAAATTCCCTCAGGCTTCTGTCAGACTCCTCAGCATGAAACCAATGCTTTAAGATAGCCACATGCTTCTTTTCCCCTTTGACACAACAGATAATCATCTCAGTTAGTTGTTTCTAATTCTCTCTTTAAGATTTTAGTCCCAAATGTAGATTAATCTTAATGAAAACAACCACACTCACAGCAACCTTTCTTGGCTAAAAGGAGATGTATTGGGCACCCTCCACAGTCTAGCGGGGCTGCTCCAAAGGGATACCTGTAGACTACCCAGTGAAACTTCTGTTCCACTGAATCCCCATCCCCTCCCTGCCAAATTCCTGGAGAAATTACACACACTTTGTCAACAAATCATGGTCACTCTAAGCCAACATTCATTTTCTTTTTACCAAGTTATAGTACTGTGTGTCAGTCTGTACTTTTTTTGAATGCATTTCAGAAATAGGATATGGAGTTCTCCAAGCTGGAGATGTACCAAAAATTATTTTAGCAGCAGATACTATTCACATAGCATCTTTCCAGTTCAACAAGTGTCAGGGGAAGAACTTTTCTGTGTTATATCACATGGATGAAATAAGCAAGCAACCATGACAAAAACTCAATTTCCAAGTTCTCTGGCTAAAACATCCCGAATGAACTTCAAGGTATGCTGATACAGGAAAGTATCCTTCTTCTTTGGCTTGCAAATATTTAGATGATTAACATCCACTGGAATAAGATCTCCAATACCCAAATCTGGGAGAAGAAAAGAAGAAAAAAATACCAAAGCTCATTAAGATAATCTAGACCGAAATGTACATCTAGCATTAGCAATTTCCTAACTCATTTCTTGTCTTCTGTTCAGCTATTTTGTCTTACATTAGGTTTTTTTTTCAATGTGCTAAGGTGTTACCAACACACTCTGCTAATACTCAGAGCTACATATTGCTGCAGAACTCACCTTGGTAAACCATTAGGCCTAGCATTCTACTGTCTTAATTGGGAATTCACAGATATACATTTCTCCATACAGATCCCTTTGAATAATCAGAACTTCATTTACGGGCACTTGACTGAGAGTGAAGTCCTGACTGCACTGAAGTTTAAGCATTGACCTGAACAGGGACGTGGATTAATCCAAGGTATCTGCATTCTGAAAAAGTCTAAAAGAATGTAGGGTTTTCACACCACCAATTGTTCATATTCTTTATAAAATACTTTGATTTGGAGATTAAAAAGGGGACTAGTGTGGACCTTAAATATGCAACAAATCACTAAACACTTTTCCTGGTAAATGAAAAAAATCCTTTGTGTATTTGCAGAATACAGGTGTTCTATTTTCAGCTACTGATTTTAGGGCACACTACAGCATTTACATTTTCCTGACATCCCTTACTACTCCTGAACATTCCAGTTTAGGTTATGCTGTGTCTGCCACGTTCCAATTATTATCCATGCACTCAGGCTCCTGAGAAATCATGCATTTTGCTTCAAACTTTGTATCTTTAGCCACATCTAACAGCACTAGAGCAGGATGAAGGCTTGCACGTGTGCAAGCAAGTGTTTAAGAAAGAGCAAGTGCACTGCTTGTCAGCCTGACATTCGAACAAAATGGGTGGGGAGTCACTGAACCCTAGTGAACCACAGTGAGAGTGCTCACATGCTACACTGCATTATCATCTCTAGAAAAGAAGAGGAGAACTTACAAAATTGTAAGCGCATGGTGCTTATTTGTGCACTCTTATCTAGTCTTTTTTTTGTGTGTGTGTGTGTGTGTGTGTGTGTGTGTGTGTGTGTGTTGCTAACACAGAGAAAATTAGTACCTAGTTTTTCAGTCCTGACCAACAAAATTGTATCAGCGACATTTTGGCAAAAATCTGCTTCTTGAGAAGAGCGACTGAAAAATACTGCTAAATATTCACTCAAGGAAAACAGGCATGTAGTCAGCCTTCAGAGCAGCCAGCCTTGTGTTTAACCCAGCAGATCTGGCTAGCAGAAAGCCTGATCTAAAGCCCCGTGAAGCAATGGTTTCTGTCTGAGACCTTGGGCAGTGCAGAAGAGGGTCTTGCTCAGGTAAAACCTGAGAATATCAGACTTAAAACAGAGTTCACCTCCTGAAGAGTTCTCTTGATCTTTTTGCTTTTTGTAGGAGCACAGAAAAACAAGCAGTTCTTTCTCTTGCGTTGTTTATGGGTGTTCAGCTTAAAATATTTTAAAATGTGTTGCTCGAATTTAATTTTCTTGACTACCTGAGGTATGAAAGATAAAGGATTCTTAACACTGAAAAATAGTTTTGTGATCCATTATTTTTTACTAGCAGCTTACTAATTTCCTTTCTTCTTTTTAAAAGAAGGAAACAGCTGACATTTGAGGAAGTTTCTGAAACACTGTTCAGTGTACCTACACACAGTTGGGGGACAGTTACTCATAATTACAAACAAAAGGACTACAACAACACAATATTAGAGCTGAGCCTACCCTGTTCTTTTCAATAAGCAAATAATACTAGCCTTTGGAAAAATCGAAACAAACAACTGCAGTACTAAGATATACATGTAGCTCCCTTTGATCTCAGCAGGGAGACTACTATAAACTCTGTCAAAAGTTTAAATGAAAGAAAAAAAACCAAACAGATGTATTTTTCTAGGTCTTTCTGCTATAGCATTCATAACCCTTCCCACACACGAACGCAAAAAAAGGAGTATTTGCAAAATTAAACAAAAATAAATGGCTATTTGATATACTTGCTGATTCCAGAGGTACGACGTGCAGTTTTATCATGCTGCCTATATGTGTCGGTAAGGTTTCTGCAAAACTCAGGACTGGAAATTTCTTATCTTTGGCAAAAGACAGAAAGTCATCATTCAGCTCTTTAAGGGCTGGAGAATCTGGGAAAGAGAGTAACATAATTTTTGCAGTTTTATCTTGAAACATAGATTATAGAATTTGTCTGAAAGATTGCGTTCCCAAAGAAATGTTTTGAAATAACTAAAAGCCTCAGCAAGAGGAGTAATATTTTGTGTGTAGTCCCTTGCTTTGGGTAATCACATGCAACACTTCAACGTTTCTTTCTGCATAGCATGGAATTTAATAACAAAATACAGTTCGTGCATTTCAGCACATGTTGAGTGAGCACACTGTTAAATGGCCCAAACTACTCTTCCATAAACTCGCTCACTCCTTTTTTCCCCTCTGCAGTCAAATACATTTACTCTGTCAATTCAACATACAACCCTAAACATAAAAAGGAGGGGTTGTTGCTTTTATCCAGTGTTTTCTGAGTGTGATTTTTAAAAAAAAGATAGATTCTTTTCCTGCTGTTAAATGGTAACAAAGCGAGCATACCCTTGCTGAGTTCTTTAACCTCCACAGACGGAAAGAGAAGATATCTGGCATTTATAGAATATTCAGCCAGCTGGGAACCATGGTGAGGTACGCTATAAAATATGATTCCTCTGGTGTTGTTTACAATGTTATCCATTTCTGGATTCTTGGAAGCATCCACAAGCATCTTCTTGACGAGAAGACCTGGCAGCAGAAACAGAATTAATGCAGGGATTTAAACCACTGTGAAAATAATCACCATGCTATATTACCCATGAAGTAACTAAACCATATTCTTGCCTCGGTCAATTAGTCTTTGGTTTTATCAAATATGTAAGATTAAGCTAAAAAACAAACAAACAAATAAAACTGAAGGGCCATTAAAATAAAAGGTCAATGAATGGTGCAAATCTAATTCTCCACACTTACTCACTTTGTCTTAAGTACTTCTAATGATACTTGCAATATGTCTGATCATGAAGAAAACTTAGCCCCTGGATTCCCAATTATGCGAATTGCAGCTCATTGGTTTCGTGTTTTTAATCAACATAGTACAAACAAAAATAAAAATCAGCAATAAAAATCCTTTCAAAACGTATATGCCATTGAATATAACGCATTAAGAAAGCGGAAATATATTTTGCATTTTTAGATAATTTGTAAATTGTAAATTTTTGAGACAAACTAGGCTAAATGGTTGCATTTCAGACGGAATTTGATTAACAGCTTACTCTAAAATACAACAGCAGATAAACATGTTACATCAAATAGGCAATTTGCTTACCACCCATGCTATGTGAGACCCATACTAGAGGTCTGTCTCCAATGCCAGCAGCTCTCAGCTTGTCAAGAAGCTCATTGCTCCTATAAGCAATAGACTTTCTGTAAAAGAATAAGCACAAGCAAGATGAATCATGACAGGTTAAAGGACAGTGTTAAAACAGAATGAATTTTCAGTGCTGAGTGTTTATGAAAAGAAATCAGGTACGTGTACATGCTGACCATGCTTCATTCCTGTTAGTACATTGAAAATTGAAAATCCCAAAAAATTCTGTAAGTTGGGCTCACAAGGATAATAGGAACTGAGCTAAATTCACTTTCTCAGTCTTGCTAGAAAGTGATCTTTTAATTTTACTCACCAGTCATTTCCTTTAGCATTAGTTCCGCGCATATCTTTATTTAAAAAAACCCATAACTTCATTTACCTATCATTAAAAAAACTATCTTTTTATCTTGGGAAAGCGTCATCAATGCATAATGAACTCTGTTCCCTGAAACAAGAATATACCTAACGTCTGACAAACATGGGCTTTGTTAAACAATACTCAAATTGTGCAGCGATGCACAGGAAATGAATAACTAAGTGTATGATCAACCAATCAGTTCAAAAATAACAGATAATTTTTTCTCTTTTGTTATACTTTCGAAACAATAATCCTCAAATACTTTGTACGGGAATAGTATTAAAATCACGATAGTCTTCATTTTGTAAATGAAGAGACTGAGGTCCAGAAAGCTACATGTTAACGGTGGAAAATGAATTTGCGGCAGAACCAAACACAAAACTGATGCCAGTTCCCAGCCTAAGCTTGAAAGCTTGACATCATTACTCCTTGCAATGTAACAAGAATTAAACATGGAAGACCCCTGGATAATTTAACATTTTGTAGAATTAAATGATCAACGCAAACAGGGTTATTGGGGCAACCACTGTGCAAAAGTCTAATTTACTTTATTGCTATTGGTTCCTCAAGCATACCACGATTGTGCCTAAGGTTTTTCCAAACTTGATTTTCATATGCAGCAAGAAAAGTAAGTTGGCTGTTTCACACCAGGTGACCACAAGGATTAGCTTTACAGGTCTCCCTCCTTCTGCCCTCCTAGATTGCACTTCATTTGTTACCTGTGAGCCTCAACAGGACATTTTGCTTTCCAGTCACTCAGATGGGTGTCATACTCCACAGATATAATTCTAAGGGCAGGACAGTCTGATGCCAACCACGTCTAAATTAATTTAAACAAAACAAAACAAAAAGTGAATTTGATCCACCGCCATTTGTTCTCAGACATCATACTGAAGACTAGTAATCTACTATTAAGCGTGATATTGATTTTTTTTGAAAATAATTCCACCTTACATTTTACATACTGTTCAAAGGAGCTACGTAAGAAATGGTGCCTTTTTCAAAAACACGTTCCCAGTCTGTCTTTAAAGCAGGTGCTTTCTTGAAAATGACCCCCTCAATCTTTTCCATTCCTGTTAGCATATCATACTTCTGACAAAGTTCTACAGAAATAAATTGCTAAATTCTGATTTTAAGAACTATTACTACCGGTAATGACTTAAACTCTGATTTTAAATACATTAGAGACATCTCTGCCAATCAGAGAATCTACCTTTTGAGTTTATAATTGAAGTACTTAAATTCTTGCAAGCACTTTACCAGCAATAAAGCAAAGCTGTTATTATGGGAACAATGTCAAGGAAGATTTCTGCTCTTCAGTTAATCCCCAAATACATTTTACACCTAGACTATTATTCTTGTACTACATGCCAGCAGACTCTTTAGCCTGTTCCCCAGCCACAGTAGCCACGAAGTAGGCAAAAGAGGGAGATAGATTAATCACTCATGCATCACTGGCTCCCTCTCCTGGGTGATATGAGAATTACTAAGATTACCAATAGGGACCTCAGTATAATTTTTTACAGAGCTACTTTGCTGGTTATACAAATACGACTTGAGGAAAGTAATAATTATTTATGTACCAGTAACATTTGTTAGTGGTACCATTTTACTGGTAATATTTTGGTACTCAGACACCTATGCATGAAAAGATAAAACTACATTTTATAAAAGTATATATTTTTTCTAAGCTATCACATTCCATCAAAAAGTTTAAGAAGAAAGCAGACATTGCCTCCTCTTTTACTAGTAGAAGAATGATGAGAGAGCATTAAATTTAGCAGGGATGCTACTTTGTGAGAACAGCCTGCTCAAAATTTCAACTTGCTAACAAAAGCGCACCATAAACTCAGAAAGCGCTACTTGCATAATCAGATTAAAAGGTATTTAGATTCCAAATAGACAACTTCCAAACAGAGTAACTCTAGAACTTCTGGATAGCTCTTATTAATGAGAAAAGAGTAGCCTTGTGTGAAAACGTTATTGCCATCTTACCTTTGGCCAGCACTGGCTATAGTCCTCTTCCCCTTCTGAAGCCTTTTCATCCAAAGGCCGGTCTATATCTTGCTGTCGCCAGGTTTTAAATGCTGCTCCCAAAAGACCATGAACAAAAAGGATGTCTGCTTTGATGGGCTGACTGATACAGAAAGGAATTTTTAAGAGATGGATGGCATATATTCTTTTAGCAAATTACAGTTTACCCAGAACTTTCACCCTAAGGGATGCCAAAATGCTAGTTTTAACGCTACATGCAATTCCCTATCATGCAGGGGGAGAAGATATTTCAAAGAGGACACTCATATCAAGATGGGAACCAGGGATCCATCCAGCAGAGAGAGAAGCAGAGAAAAAAAAGACATGGAGGCTTAAGTACTACCGGTAGGGCAACCACATATGCACCCTGACCTTTTGGCAGTAGCTCTGCTGCAATTTGAAACAGGTAGATCAAAGAAGATAATGGTAATACAATGTGTGAAAAAGATACATTTTTAATGTATAAAATGGCTTGGAAACTGGACCAACCATCCCACATCTGCTACATTCAAAGGAAGAAAGAGTAGTATTTTCATGAGACATTCACTATCCCAAAACATGGAAAACCATATTGATTTGTCCAGAATTCCCCAACAACGCTACTAACACGTAAGAAACATTGAAGAAAGACCCCACAGATAATGAGAAAAGATCCTAGGTCCTGTCACTGAACCCGACCCCTCTGGTGATAACACTTATTTTTAGTCATTTGAGTTAATATTTGGCTGATTTTGCATGAAATCCATCTCTACGGAAAAAGACAGTCCTGTTACTGTATAACACAATGTAAGAGATGCTGGCATTAACCAGATGACAACAGGAATCACTGCAGGAATAAATAATGAATACATTTCAAAGATAATTCAGGGAGAATATTTTACCGCTATGCAGAAGGGAAACTAGATGGGTCAGAGAGACAAACCTGCATGTTTTTAGTATGAAAATTTGTCAAGATTTTGCGAGAGCAGCTGAAAACAGCAAGTGCGCAGGTACGTTGCTGTTTCAAATGCAGGACAACTTTCAGTGAAACCCTGCAGTGGAAGGGTTTGTATTGGAAATACTGGAAGTACCAACCTCATATGTTGCAATCTACTATAATGAAAAATACCGCTCTCTCCACCTACTATTAACATGGCCTGATATTTCCAACTATACCATCAAATTAAACATTTGCTGTAACCTGACTAACACCAGTGAGCCAAGGAGTAGCTCTACTAAGTGACGTATCACGCTGGAAACTACTTCATTCCTAGATGCACAGTCACAATTAAAAGAAGCTGACAGGGTTTTATGGTATTTCTTAACTGTAAATTTACTGCAGCTTAGGCCAATATGTGCTTCTCCCAACAAAATGATTACAAGGCGATGCATCCCAAGAGAGCCGGTGCAAGGGCCACATGCTTGCAATGTATGCAAAGCAATAATTCGTTTCCAAATTTGTATTTGGATCTTTCCATATAGTACAGTAATACTCCTCTCACGGGTATGGACTGCTCTGAGCATTTCTGTTGTTCTCATATTTGAGAATCTAAACCCTGTCCCTTCAACCCATCAAAGAATAGGAAAAGCAGGTGACATGAGTGCAGCAGCACTCGCACTTCACTGTTATGTTTTTTTAAAGTGAACAGTATAGCCAGTAGCACAAAGTATGGTGTGATCCTTCTGCTTTACCTGCTACGATACTGTGGATGCAAGACATAAACGCCATCCGGATACTTTTCTTGCACTGTGTCCCTGTCCAGGTTAGCCAAAGCTCTGGATGCATGAGAAGACTGAATGACGTGTGGAGATTTCATTACTTCAGCAAGTACAGAAACCCAACCTACATTGTAAAAATAAAGTGGATAAATAAGTAATTAGGAATACCATCCAAACAAAATTCAGAAACCATAGTTCTAAGTGATACTTGTGAAAATAAACGTTAGAAGAGAAAACAGTTACATCGAAACAGATCCACTTCTCTTTACCCAAGGAAAACCTATGGTAGATGAGTGGAATCGCCAAAAGTGAAAATGAAAAATCCAGAATGGTGAGGAGGCAACGTGTTTTGCTACTATTCAGCTTATGAGCTGAATGAAGACCCCTTTTCAGAAGGAAAAGAAAATGTATGCATAGGTCACTGCAGTAGTCAGAGAAGGAACAGATGTCCAGCCTGTTTCTGCAGATCAGTCATTAGAAAGACAGAGAAGAGCAATGTCCTCATTCCAGTATGCAGGAGAGGAAGCGAGGCTTCTAGCATAGGAAAGGCATACGAAAGTTAAAAAAAAAAAAAAAAAAGCAGGAGTAATGGCAGGTGGGAAAATTGATGCTCACTGTGAAAACGCAACCTTTTCTAGTTTTAAAATCCAGCCTGCAAAAAACTTCAAGAAATTGAAATGTCATCTTTCTTAAGCATAAATAGCATATTATTTTTAGAATAAATACAATAGGCCCTGTTTTTTTAACTCTGAAATTAATCAAGACAAAGGGCCAAAAACTGCGTTGAGAATCCTTCTGCCCCGAGACACCACATTACAGCCACAACATGTTGCATCATTCTTTCTTCCTCTTCACCAGTAGATTTTGCCAAAGAGCCTCAGAGATTCCTTCCTATGCACATCTTCCAGCAACAGAAAGGACTCATTCTCATCAACTCTTGATCAGCAGCATCCAGCTGCTAATCTCTGGAGTCCAGTTCACTGTCTAAAATGTGGTTAATGCTCTGGCAGTTTTGCCCCAAAGAGCTGCTGACTCTTCTTTTATGATCTCTTCCTCCATATGAGCGGTTTTAGTAGTTACAAAAATAAAGGATTGGTCCTAGAACTCAGATCAAAGGACTCTGCTGTCCAGCAGTCTTCCTCCAAAAGTGAGCAGTAAGGAAAGTTGGGGAACAGCAAGTATGTAGTGCTCCACCCTCCACACTCCACCCTCTCAGCTTCCTGCAATCAATTTAGGATTTTTTGAGGAAGAGATGGATGGCATCTGTGTATACAGCTCTATGGATTTGTCTTTCTATGAATATGCCTAATCACTTTTTGAACCTTTGAAAGACTTCAGCATTCACAATATTCTGCATCAAGTTTTACTTTAGTTATCAATTGTACTTTATATACATATATACACACACGTATATACATACACACACACACACACCCCCCAGCACATTAGTATTTCCTTTTTTGGCCTTCATTCATTTCCTAATAAAACATTGGGAATTATTCGTAACTAAAACTAGAAGGAAGAATTTAACAGCAGTCTTTCAGGGCTATTAAAAAAGGTGCATCAGAGAAAGGCTTAACAGAAGCTCCTCGTCTAATATGAAACAATGCAGGGTAGGATGGTATGTTTCAGTTTATTTTGAAAGGCAAGGACTATAAGCAGCTCTGTTCCTTTGTGAGACTAAAACATAGTCAATAAGAAAAACGCTAATCTACAAGGCAGATGATCTGTGAGAAGAGGAAATTCAAAAAAAATCTTTTCCGATAATCTGATCCAGATATTAATTATGGCCAAATTCTCAGCATCTATTAAAGACTTACAGTGCCTCTGAGGTACTGACATATATTGGCTAGAAAGAATACAGAAGTCCTTAAACCAACACTGTCTAAATTGTCTATATTTTTTTTGCTTAAAAAAAAAAAAAAAAAAAAAGACATCCTTCTACCTCTACACGTTTTACAAAAGCACCAAATCCACTGAAAAATTTTGAATAGAAATCTGGCACTCAGACTACTTTCACTTGCTTTTTTTTTTTTTTTTTTTACCTGCACGTACTATGGATGAATGAAGATGTTCATCCAAAGCCATATTTCCAATAATGCGAATTATATTCCTTTGTATTTTTGCAGAATCTTTACGCAGCTGGTATATCCTCTGTAGTAGCTGCAGGCCTCCTTTTGCTTCAATTTTATCACAGTGAGAAGAAACCTAGCATTATACAGCAAACACAATGTAAGTTGATGTTCTGCAGAAGGTACTTTGAGATGCTGTTAATAAACAGACTAATAGAACTTTAAGGAGCTGATATGAAAGCACTTACTACATAGAAATTCTTACTTCATCTAGAATTTGCTATGCCATACAATTGGAAAGGGAGTAAATATTTTAATATATTAAATACACAGTTCCACAATTCCTATGCATTGACAACCTTTTTTTTTTTTTTTTTTAAACTATTTAGAGTATCTTCACTTCACTCTCATCCATCATCCACGTCTGCGGGAGGTGAGATTGCTCTCCACTTGGCATGATCGAATTTCAAATAAAGTTCAAGAGTCTGAACAGGACAATTGTCTGCATTTGTGAAAGCGTGGAACTAGTTGTCTTACTGTCTGCCACCTAAAATTCAACTGTTATAATCCTTTTCTCTGAAACACAAGGGTATTTCTACTTTCCAAATAGTACTGCAATCACTATTGATCTAAAAGGCAACAACAGAATCTGGTCCAAGCAGAATCTCATCCAGCTGCAGTGTCATCCACTGATACTGGGCAAATGCTTGCGACTTGAACGTTTCATCTACACTGTTTAAGGATGTATTGTGGGTATGGAATTGCTGATGGGTTTCAACACAGACGGACACACGTTCTGTATGAGTATGGTCACGACTTGCTTAAATGGAAAATCTTGAACATAACGAACTCCAGACTAAGTCAGAATGTCTAGGTATAGGGAGGATGTGAAAGGAATACTGGCAAACCGCACTTTATCCATCCCTATTACCAATAATAATTTGGAATTCTCAATGCTATTTCCCAATGTTCAAGGCTCCTGAGCCATAATCGCACACAGAAGAATGCAGCAATAGAAATCGTAACATACCACTGCTACACAAAGTCTTTCATGTTCCTCATCGGTGTCTGTAAAGAACAGACTGGTCCTGGGAAGATGCACTGTATTAGCTGTGTGCTGTGCAGTGCTCTGCCCAAATGCAGTGACCCTTAGAGGGACCTTAGTGAATAGCCAAAAGTTTGTAAACTGTCTTAACTTATGATTCGAGTCAATTCACAAGGCTACTTTGCTTCCTGGCAGCCTGGCCACAGAGTTAGATTAAGAGCCATAGCAAGAGACCACTTACAAGCTTTCTGGACTGATGTACACAAACTCACACAAATCCACACACACTCTGCACTGAAAACTTAATGTCATCTGTATCTTGCTTAGACAGAAGATGCAAGTGGAAACACTAAGCGTATCCTCACGAAATCCATCTCCCACCATTTGTCCGTAGTAGCGGGAGGTGGCCTTGCACAGAATAACTTCCTAAAGCTATCCTAACTTCAGTCACTCTCTCCTGCTTGCCTCTGCCAGGGTTGCCCTGGACAACTTCTTAAAAGACACAAGCAGATATATTACAGGGGAACTTACACGGACTAATTAGAAACAATACCTACACTACCTAACAGTGGATCCTATGGACACTTCCACCAGAAAAATGAGTTTGTTATGTTGTCCTCTCATTCACATGAGTCTCAGTTGTCTGGACATTTTTCCAAAAGGGGTGTGAGGTAGGAGACAAGGAAACAGTAACTCCTTCCCAGTACTTGAGAGAGCATTAGAAACAATGTTTATAAATGCAACTTTTAATTACAGTTTAAAAGATAGATTACCTTAGAATGTTGTACTAATGCTTGCAAGCAGAAGAGTTCTACCGTCTCTGAAGGGATTTTACTCAGCGTCTCACAATACGGAAGTCCATTTCCTCCAAAACACCATAAGCCTCCCTGAAACGAGAATCAACAAAATTATACCACCTTCCAAATGGCTACATAAAATAAACATCTCTAAACCAAAGTGTTAAGCGTGTAATGATCTGTAGAAGTTGCTATAGACAGTGCTCGACACGTATATACTTTTAAAATTGTACAAATTACTTAACGGTACACCATAAAAACGCCCACCACTCTTAACCGAGAATATTACATAGAGTTTAAATCAGTAGTCATCATAGTCTATTAACTTCAAAATACACAATAAAAGGTGTTAGGGGGAAAATGTAGGATATTCATTTAGGTTAATACGTGTTTTATTTTAAGATTGTTTGCCTAAGCATAAGAAAGCAATAACCACATTGCTTCTAATATAGTCACAAAAATGAGAGAGGAGGAAATGAGGCTTCAGCACTTAGCACAGTCTCTGAAGACCAGTCTGTCTCAGTCATGCAGGAGAAAGATCAGCATAACCTGGAGAAAGAAGAGTTTTCTAGAACACTGTGATTAGTCAAAATGCTTCCAAGTGTGGTGTCTTACCAAAAGTCCTTCTGCAGCAAGAGCTCTGGCTGTGGAAATAGAGTCTTTGTGTAAAAATACTATACATAATTGTATCATAGGCAATAAAGGGCTCTTGCACTCTAAAAATCTCTAAATAAAGCCTGTTAGGTACCATAGTTAAAAGACTGTCATCTTTATCATTATATCTTATTTAAAAAGTCACAACTATGAAAAAAAAATAAAATGCATAAGAGATAGTGGACAACATTCTGCATTAGCAACACTACAACCATCCCAATTGAAAGAGACGAAAACTGTGACAAACATGTTAGAAGTGTGGCTCTTACTCTGAAAGCTGTCCCTAACAGTTTCATATTGCTCTCTTTCAGTCACATTAATTGAAACACATCAAGTTGTATACACTTCTTTCTCTTTTAACTTCCATTCTCATGTACGTTTACTCCTAAAAATGCACCCTGGGAAGCAGGGATCAAATCATGTTCTTTCTGAATCATAAAATACAATGTGTAACTATTGCACAGTAAGTTTGCAAAACTGGAAGTGAGTTAGAAGTTCTGCTGAAGAACCTATGTACCATGGACTATGGACACAACTGGATCTCCTTTACTTGTTCTAATTCTATAGCACTATATTGAAGTGAAAATTGGTAAACATTTCCCTTTATTACCGATTTCAGGGTTTATGGCTCATATGCATACAGTTTTTAAACTAGCATTACAGTTTTTTTCTAGAAATAATTGCACTTCAAATAACATTCTCAAAGCCACTTAAGAGTAGTCTCTGGGCAAGCAGCAGAGCTGAAGGATTCCTAGTTTCCAAGGCCATGCAGACCACTAGACTATTCCAAATCCTATTTTGGCAGTACTGGCCTGTTACAGGCAGGCATTTCCATGTGATATCTATATAGGGCTTACTTTTCAGAGGTGCAAACAACTTGTCACTTAGTTTGTTAGTAAGACTTAACAGAGTTTTAATCATTTGAGCAGTAAAAAACAAACATCAGTAAGATGAAATGTGACAATTCATTTTACGGTTCTGGGTAACATGTTGAAATACCAGGTTTATGGGAAGGCTTGTAAGTAGAGAGATTATTTCTCACTGTATCAGCTAGTCCAGCTGGGAAAGATAAAGAAGATTTCAAGCACACAGACTGCATGTAGAAGCGATTTTACTTAAGTTGTAAGGTTCTGAAGTCTCTGTATTTCTCTCACTCTTAGAATGCTCATAAATAGATTTATCTCTTTGGATATAGAGGAAATAGATTTATACCTTGGAGCTCTGCAGGAACAGAGAACCCATATACTTTCATTCTGCAGGTGGGAACTCACCCTTTGCGCAGCAAGAGTCTGACTACTTTCACGTAATGCAAGAGATGTGAAGTACTGGACGCATGGATCAAGGCCAGTCTGAGGTAAAGACATTAACAACAAGCGCAGCTCATCTTCTATGCGATAATCCTGTGACAAGCGAGCACAAATAACTCTTAATTCAGTCCACAGCATGAAGCAAAACACAGTATGAAAGAAAAGGAACATCTGAAGCAATACAAGCAGCTACATTAATAAAGTTGTAAAACAGAAAGCCTGGACTTGAGTGCTCTGAAACATAACTTTATCAGTAATTCGTGTAAAGACTTTCAGCATCTAAAATTCTAAAATCAGCCAGTAGAATGATGAAAAGTAGGCTTTAAACTACTTGCTTTGGTGGCCTTATTCCAGTAAGTCTACAAGGGCTAAAGAAAGGTTCCTCTTGGAACATGAAGCTTAGAAGTTTACCTTCAGCTACATGATAATTTTAGTGCAGCAGCAATAAAATGAACCTATAAATTACCAGTCAAAAATACAGACAACATTTCCTTTAGATTTTAATCTTCAAAATATTCATATAGAAGTTCATTTAAAAATGCAAGGTAGATGACAGGAAAACAAATTCAACAAAGTCATGTTATTTGCCAACAGTCATAGAGCTTGCTGCTGTTATAATCCTTGCTGCAGTCAGATAGAGATGTCTGATGGGCAGAGCAACAGTTGCTGCTAGGATGATTTGGTTCAACTTCCTAAGTAGCAGTTTGGGAACTCTTAGCTTCAATTAACCAGCAATCATATTTCTGTAATAGTAAAGTATTTTCATAACCATATGCTAGTATAACCTCAGTACCTCCAGGCTGACAGGTAGAGATCCACTGTCACATAATGTTACAAAGATGAGAAACCAAAAAGTGGTAAGTACCAATAAAAGCTGGATTTCAAAGTTTTGTTGGCCAAAACGTACATGTATTTTATGACAGGGACCTTTTCCAGCATTTATTCTATCAGCATTATGAAAGTCTTCTCATATTATGCTTTGGGCACCAATTCTGTATATTAAAGAAATTGATACGATGAAAGGATTGCTCGCACTGTCATGTATGAGCATGACATACAGCATGAGCATGAATTAGATACTCACTAATTAATACAAAAACAAAGCGAAGTCGAAGGTATCCAACAGGTACTTGTTCTTACCCAAAAGCCTGGGATATAGAAATGGGCCTACAGCATGCCCAGACATTGAGAAAACCAGGCCGGTAAATCTTACTGTAATTAGAAAGGATGGCAAGAGCCACCTCTCACCTTCAGAATCTCTGAAGGCATTTGGGAACTTAAGACATAGTACTTGAAGCTGTTCTACAAGTAACATATTTGCTTAACTGATTAATTCTTAGTCATTGCATCAAGATGTAACGCATTTCAGCGGCTAAAATCCCACTTAATGAAGTTTCCATTGGAATAATATTCAATTAAATCTAACATGTACTAATGGATAGTAGAGTTCATCTCCAAACCCTTTCTACGACTGTTAAAAATCAAAAATAAGTAGATAAAGATGTCAAAAGTAGGACAGCAGAATTTGCGGTCCTATATCACAAACTCTGAAAGACAGTGGATGTGTCTACATTAGTGATTCAGTGCGTTGGAGTTTTTCCAAGAAGCTAATTTGCCTTGCATCTACACTTGGGAGTCATATGGTGCACTCAAATTGTCTTCCTTATGTATATAATCAAGATTAAAGCTTTGTGCCAGCTTTTATCTATGGCACCACGCTAGCAGTGTGGTTGCAACATCCTCCGGCACATCGACTTGGGGGATTCTGTCAGTAATGATTAGGATGACTGTATATAAATCCGTTTTGCATTGCCTATTAGGTACAGATAAGCAGTATGTAATTAAGACTGGCAACAGGCACTAACTTCAATGTTGGTAATCATATAAGGTGAACACACAATCCTAGAACAATAATGGATCAAATCCCAGTCCTTACCTCTTTGCAACATGCTATTCAACAATGCAGATGCATCCCATGGCTGTATCACTACAATACAGTTTCCTATTTTGGTCTTTATTTTACAGCTCATTAGTTGCTTTAGAAGAACTCCACTTCAGTGTGGTTACCAACAATGAAAGTACTAAAAACAAGTAAACAAGCAACAATCAGCTAATACCTCTTTTTCATTTACTTACATCCTTTATTTTTGGCAACGGTGGTGGAGGCAGGAAAAATCGAAGGTCAATATCTTTGGACCGAGCCAAACCTATAGCAGTCCTTTGATCACAGGCTTGAGCAACTGTACTGTACTGATAATCTGCAGCACAAGAACTTTAGTGTTAGCGTCAAAACTAATCTTAAGTACTTCAATTGGTTTAAAACATAGTTTCTGATCTGCTTCAAAAATGTACCTGAATACAGAAAAATCTCTCCAAAATTAACCCTGAACTCGTAGTCACAAATTCCAAAAGGCAAAAATAGCAGCTGTTACACCAGCACTACACTGAAATGAAATATACCTGCAGGACATTAATTGTTCATTACAGACCAGTTTGATAAAGGACCTCAGATATCACATGAACACAGGCAAAAGCAAACTTTCAGTATTGCCTCTATGAAAGAGGAACAAGTACCAGAAATCCAAGTTTAATCTCCTGGGCTTGAGTCGAAATTTGGAAGACCTCTGAAAAATGCTTTTGTACATAAGAAATCTGAGCCTTAAATTCAAATGTTGCCAAGACTTGCATAGACACCTTATATTAAATGATACAGAAAGCTATGTTTCGATAATGCTATTAAAGTCATAAAACCAGGTAACCTTAGAAAACGCAGGACTGCATCACAGCACAGTTTTCAGTAGTCCTTCCTTACTGAACATACAGGACAGACCTTCAGTCACTCAACTGAAGGGAAGTCAGGCTTAAACAGTGACTGCTGTTCCTTTCCAAAACGCCCCTACTTTTTAGCTGGAGAAACTGAAAGGTACATAATAAAGATCAAGTGGGAAACTGAAGGAAGAGAAGAATATAGCATTAAACTTCTTCTAAAAAAAATCGTTTCTAGCCTTGCTACTGTTACGTAATTCTTAAACAAAAGCGTCAAGCCATTTGAAATACGCTTTTCACAAACAGTCACAGATTGGGCATCTTTCTTTTCTTTGGTGCAGCTCACAGCTACAAACTGAAGTCAGTGAAGCTGTACTTTGGACTAGCAAAATATTATATTTGCAATAACTGTTATGCTGAACAATTCACTCCTCACTGTCAAAAGCTAGAACATACTTTCAGCCTTAACCTTCCTAGGGCTCAGTTTTGGAAAATCAGGATTAAAAAACAAACAAACAAATTTCCCTCCTGAGGTTGTTGGCAAAAATAATTAATATTTGTGGCACCCAAATACAACAGCAATGAGCACTACAGCGGATATAATACAGAAAAAAGGAGGAAACAAAGAGCAACTAGATTCCTGAGTACTGGTCATCCTATGCACTGAAAGGAGATAGAAGACCTCTAGAGAAAGGATCCTGAGATCATCTGCTAACAGGCAGCATTCTCACACGAGCACGAGGAGGTTACACTGAACTAGTACACACGACTTCAGTTTTGTTATATCCTAGCTTTCAAATGTTTTCAAACATGCTTTTTCACGTAAAACAGTTGTGGTAACTTATTAGAATTTTAAAGAGGCAATCTGAAACAACAAAAATACCATCATGTGGAATTGTACTGGAAGAATAAGAGCTTTTTAACCGATCGGACTACCAGAATAATCAGGGTCAAGACTGGAATGTCATCCGATTTACACAGACTAGTGCTGGAGGGGAGGGAAGAGGACACACACACACGCACATACACACAGGCACACACGCCTTTACCTGGGGTTTCATGGATATTGGCTGATAGAGGAATAGGGAGACCCAAGAACCTTAAGTTTGACACCAGGCTTTAGAGAGTGGTTTACATGATAGGAAGGTGGATAATGGAGAAAAGGATAGGAAAGAAAGGTAATTTTTTTATTTATTGATAATTTATAATATATAATATAATATATAATAATAATATAATGTAAAATACCAAACATTAAATCAAAGTAAATTAAAAAAAATTCTTTGGACTATGTCTGTGGGAAGTTTAACTCCTTCTTATGACTTCTTGCTACCAACGTAATAATAATAACAACTGGGATGGAAAAATGGCTTACAAATAATACTTGCAAACATAAGTCCTCTTCCTCTAGTTTGTTATTTCAAATTGGTAGGAACTTTTAGCTGCTACTACCTATCAGCTCCTAACGAATTTTTACTAACTGAACCATAGCCATAATCCCATTCCTTCAGAGGGATTCACAAAAACCACTGCCAGCGCCGGTGACCCTGGTGGCAGACACAACAGTAAGGCCAAGGAACTAACGAACATGAACTGCTCTCCCACACTGAGGCAGTGTCATTCTAACTAGTGGTTGTGATTCTCCGGTGGGGAAGCAGAGAGAGGTGAGGAAACACTGCAGATACACACTCTGTATCAGGGTATTATGAGCAAGCAATTGCTTGAGATGCAAATAAAAAGAGATTCTAGATCAAATCTTAGAGTGTATTTACACTCCTTGAAGCGATTAGCATTTTTCCATGTTAGCAGCAGATTTGCGGCAACTAATGGAGACCTTGTTGCATTTAAGATAAATTAGGATACACCACCATACGTTACCATGCCAGTGACTGTTCTTTGCGAGGTCTTGGACAGCCTGCAGTCGGACCTCTTTGTCTTCCGACTGGCTTCTCTTTAAGAGGAGCCATAAGGCACATTCATGATCTTCTCCATCAAACGTGCTGAAGTGTTCTTTACCAGAAAAGAAACAAAACTCACGTTAAAATTAAGGTGCATTTTAACATTTACTAAGTAAACAATGCTGTTCCTTTTAATATTGCAATATTAGTTGTTAATAGTCATTTGAACTGTAGTATTTTAATATTAAATCAGTAGAATAAGCAATGGAAAAATGACATCAGTAAAATGCTAGTCCTTAAACGAACAGGAAGCTTTTGATTAATTTCGGTGGCACCAAGTCAATACGCCACATACTGAGGGAGTTTTTATTTGCATTACATACGTACACTGGCTGGCACTTACCAACCAGAACTGCCAGGTTTCAGTAGGAGCTGGAAACGATTAGCAGCTCTGAGATTCGGACATTGAACAATTAATTTCATAGCTCTTCTATGAAGGAACATATTGTTATAACCATTTGACTGATAGTTAAAAAGAACAGATAGTAATTTACTTCAGATGTTACATCAAGGAACACAGTCTCTTAAACTGAATTCAAATTCTTATATTGAATTAGTCTAAAAAAGCAGTGACAAACTGTTACAAAAAGACCATACTGCTTTCAGTTAATATGGGCAACTCCGATGACAGCACAACATACTTTCTAAAATGATTTTTTTTTAAAGTATTTCACCCTCAAAACCACCTTTGGTATACTAAATGCTAATATCAAATTTTAACTTTGATATTAAATTTTAACTTCATATCTGAGTCTTCAAACCCTTTCTGAAAGGAAACATAGTTTCCCCTCACACACCCATACTTAAGCATCACTTCTATTTACTTTAAGAAAAGGAATACGTTTAATACACAGAAAATATATTAATATTCTGTATTAATATAGATTACATGAAATATTGCTTAGTAATAGTCCCATCACTGTTTGAAACCCAAAAGAAGATAGTAAGTTTGTAAGAAAAGTTTTTATGTCCTAAAAGACTACTATTTTATTATTGAAAATATTAACTATAGACAAAGCCATGTTTTTAATACCTACCATTAAAAGGTCTCCGGAAAATTTTAGCTTCTGTTTCTAGAATTTTCCTCACCACTCTATGGATTTCTCTTCTGGCTTGGTATGTGATCCCTAAAAGAGTATTTTCAGATTACTTAAAGTTTGAAAGACAAATTCTTACAGTATCACATCCTAGAATGGCTTAAACAACAGAAGGCCACATCCTACAATAAATTCTGCAACAGTGATAAGAGTACTTTTTTCCCTAACACAGCTCAGGAAATATATCTTTCTTGATAGAAGGGTGACTTCTAGAAACATAAAAATACTTGTGCAAACCTGGAGCGGATCTTAGATGTGGATTTGCTGACCAATCTATATGCCACAGACTTTCTGACACTTTTCATGAGACTAGGGCTTTCTCATCAGATTTTCTCTGTACTGCCCCACACACTGCATGACATGTATTGCTTGGAGGGAGACAGTCTGCTCAAGTTGCCTGTGTAACAGCACTGCTGTAACTATGCAAACTGTAAAAGGTTTTGGTATTCATTGAGAAGACAGGGACTACACACATTTGTAAAAGGATAATAAACTATAATTCTATAAATATAACTCTTATTTAAAAAGAACATACTGTAGGCTTTTTCCCCTCTTCGGAGCTATTTTCACAAACTATAATATCAGATAACAGTGGACCATTCTAAACAAATGCTCACATCGTAGTCTACGTATTCAGAAACAGTAAGTCTCATAAGCTGAAAACATTCTTTAAAGAAAAATGCTTCATTTAAAAACACACAGTTTTGATTTGGGTCTTTACATATCATTTCATATATTAGATGTAAGTAAACTGAAAGCTAAATAAACTGTCATAATAATCTAACTTCAATGTTTTTCCACTGAGGCATTAGACATCTACTGTCAGAGAAATCTGGGTGCAAGGCTAACGAAATAAAAAGGTTTTGTTACGCTTCTTGATCCATGCAGGTTTGCTGATACTAGTGACAGATGAAGCAACTCTATGAAAAAAAAAGGCAAATCTAGTCATGTTGCCAAGTAAGAATGACAAAATGGGACTGTACACAAGGATTCATGAAACAAGTAGTATACATGACAGTCAGTTACATCACATCTCATATTACTTTAAAACAAAATATAATAAAAATTAGCATCTCTTTTACCATTTGCTTGTGGAAGAGGGAAAGCTGAAAGTATACTACATGTACCCGATGCTACTCAATCTGATAGCTTCGTTTCAAAAAAGGGACAAAAGTTTCATGCCACTCCATGCCACGCAAGGTACCAAAAGCTGAAGAAGCATAATCTGAAAGTATCATATTGAAGCAGAGGAGCAATATTCTGGTGAAGACATCACGGCAGGCAGAGATGAGGCCCTCCTCCAAGGCTTCCAATGCCACTTAAGTCATTAGGGGTAGAGGACTGCATAGGGGCACACCACATGAAGTGTGTAAGGGCAGAATTGCAGCGTGGCTCAGTGACGAGATCCCACACTGCACTAGGGCCCAGAAATTTGATTACAGGGAATGTTATAAATCACACAGGCCTCAAGGCCATCAAATTACCTGAGCTTTCAAACAGGCCTGCAACGGAAAGAGCACAGGGTGGATTAAAGTGCCTAGTGTGACAGAAAGGGAGCTGCACACCACTGGAAGAATATACAACTATGTCTGGTAAACTAGTATGTTTGCTGCTGATATTACCTGGTTCTTTTTATCATCCCAATATATTTGAAAAGCTATTTTCTTAAAATTTTATTTTTAGCATCAAAAAAATTATACATCTTACCTTGATATTCACTTGGATCCAGAGAAGTTGTACGTACATATATATAGGATTTAAGTTTTTCTTGATGTATAGCTTGGGTATCAATTGTCAGTAATTTCTTTAAGGACAGAACTTCATATGTAATGAATACAAAACCTCTTTAAATAAAAGAAAATGGTGTATGCATATAATTAAAATATAAGGAAAGATGAAAAGTATATGTTAACAATCATTTTGTTTGTAAATACTAGATTTTAACCAAACATACAATAGCCTGTAGATTCTTTCAATTTAGCACAGTAGAGAAAAGAATCTAAAATAGTTAAAATAAGGAATAACTACCAGAAAGTATGCTACAGAAGTATGTTCTATCATGTCTAAAGGTCCCTTAATGTCATCAAATTTTTGGAAAGTTACATGACTTAAAATTCTAACTGCATATGTAAGTTACACGTATGCTTCTTAGTTGCAACTTACCCTAGTAAAAGTGATCCAGTTACCTTTGCAATTTTTCCTTAAAAAAAATTGGAAAAAAAAAATATCACGTTAAAAAAAGTTGTGTGCATCATCTCGGTTTAAACATAGTTACCATTTGATTACCAAAGATAATAAGAATTTTAGAAATTAAGAATTTTTTGAATTTATTTTTCTATTACTCTATGATTTTCAGGAAATCAAGACCTAGATTTCCAAAGAGAAAAAATGGCATTCAGTTATAATCTCCTGCTCTCCTAAGCAAGATGATAAAACATTATCCTGCCAGTGATATCTTTTCTTTTTTTGAGTGGGAGAGTGTAGTATTGCTATCCCATCAATCACATCCATTGCTCAGCAGCAGGA